AGGGTAACTATAAAATAAGAATAATAATAATAATAAAGGGGATAAAAGTGTGATTAAATGAGTTCTCTTGTTGCCCTAGAAGTCTACTGACATATAGATATATATATATATATATATTCTCTTCTCAACATCTACACATACGTTAGAATAAGAGAAAGGAGAGGAGAGACTAGGGTTTTGAGTAAAAAAAAAGGAAGAGAAAGAATGAAGGGGATTTAGAGAAGAATGAAGAAAACTAGAAGATTTGATCATCAAGGTTAGTCCTCAAATTAAAAATTAATTTTGTATTTGATCATTATATGTATAAATATACAAGGTTGTAGTTTGATTTAATATTGCAAGTAATCCATATGGGTAGGTATATAGGATTAAAATAGGTGAATTCAAATATATAATAGGGTGGTATTTGTGTAAGGAAGAGATTGGGAAGGGGAAGAAAGAAAAGTACAGACCAAAAGCTTCTGGGCCGTAAGGTTGAAAAAGATAAAGTTTTAAAATTATGAAAACCCCCCTATGTTTTAAGTAGTTTTATTTTGATCCCTATACTTTTATAAACTCAATGTTTTACTACCATGAAACTTGGTAATTTATAGAACTGACCCAATATGTTTGAAACAAATATGGTCATTTCAAAATAGCTCCTGAGTCTTGAAAAATTTATGAAATTTTGAAACGACCCCTAAAAGTTTCGATTAAATGTTTAAAAATCAATGGTTATTCTAATAAATTAAATTGAAGTTGTATTATCGAAAAATAGGTCTCTAGAACCTTAAATACTATTCTGAAAAATTTATGGCAGTCCCGAAAGCAGAAAATTCGTTTTTAAGGAAATTACACTTTGATTCTAAAAGTTTCAAAAATTATGATTTGACCCCAAAAATTTAGAAACTTTTTCCAAAAAGTCCAGAATACTTACATACCCTATTACCTCATATTAGAAAAGATATGTATATATAAAAGATATATTAAGTATATATCAATGGGTGAGAAGTATAAAAATTAAATATAAAATCGCGAAATGATGAAGTTATAAAAAATGATTGATTGTTATATGTTATTTTGAATTAGGTGGTGATTGCATTGAGGTTGGGAAAGAGTGCTTTGAATTAGATTTTGAAAATCAAGGTGAGCAGTTTACTACTTCTTTTGGGAGAATTTTTTATATTCAATGTGTGGGTGTGTGCGTGTGAACTTTTCATATATATGATATATGTGTTGATGTTTGAGGTTACGATTAAATGTTGTGAAATTGTGAACTGTTTTACAAGTGTATTTTAGAAAACTTGTGGAATGATTTTATATTATTGCTTTGGTGATGAAAGAGAAATTTTGTGTGCGTTGGAACTAAAACTACAATTTTGGTGTGTGTGTGAAAATTATGTTTATGAGATGGGGACTGGGGTTATCAGGTTTAAGTGGTAACAAGAAACTCTTCCAGTCATCAATCTAGTGATGACAAGAGACTGTGCCAGTAACTAGACTAGTGATAACAAGAAACGGCGCCAGTCATCAGACTAGTGATGACAAAAGATTGAGCCAATTACCACGCTAGTGGTATCAAGAGACTGGGCCAGTTACCAGACTAGTGATAACAAACATGATTTGACAAATGTATTTAGAACTGAATGTGTTTGTGTGAGTGTTTTGGGTTATAAATATCTTTTCATTTATAAAGTTATTTGTGATCATGAAATCATTTTGTTTAAATGATTATGTGGGAGGAGTTAAGGTACAATTTGTTGTACTTATGTGTGTATCAAAATTTATTTTTGTATATAAACTTTGAGGTTTATTTTCACACCTCATTAGAGGTGGTTGCTATTCATGGACTTTTGTACTCATCCAAACATTTAACATTTTTCAGGTGAGGATCAGGGGGAGGAGTAAGTCCTCAGATAGACAAGGGGTTAGAAAAATTGAAGATTTATTTTATTGTAGATTTTCAAGAATAAATATTTTTTATAGTTTTGAGACAAATATTCAATTGTTTTGAGAACAATGTTGCTTATAATTAGAGTAGTGAACCTTATAGTTTAATTATTGTTTTACATGAGTTTAATAATGACATCGGTGATGTTTAATTTATTCCTCTGGTATTCATTAGGTCGATGGATTGGATTCCTTTATTATTTGTCTTTCACTTTATTTTGTATTTATTATGCACAGGGTTGGTTGGTTAAGGCCTTGGAGGCCGGTATGCCGCCCATCCTATGTAATCCGGGGTGGGGGTGTGATAGATTTGTCTTTACCTTAGGTAGTGCAGTCGTGTCCTGAAAATCCTCAAAGCAAATTTATATTGCTAGATCTACAATGAAATCTGAGTTTATTACCTTAGATAAAGTTAGAGAAGAAGCAGAATGACTTTGTAACCTATGATGAGACAGTGCACATTTGTCACGAGAACTAGGATAAGTAACGCTTTTAATGATATTCTGTGACTTGGAAATATCCAAATAGGGTATAGTAGGATATTCTTATTCAGAAATCACCTATGTGGGTAATGAAGGGGCCGCTTTTATGAGAATCGTAGGCTGATTACTCTAAAATTATTCATGAAATTAAGTGGTGTTCAAGGCCAAAATGAACACAAACGTGAGAATCAACTATGTCCGAAGGAAACTGTGTGAATTCTATTGTCTTGGTTTACACAAACAGTTGACAATTCAAAGACATCATGCTCATTAGATAGTCAAGTAAATTCGATAGTCAAGTAAATTCGATAGTTTGTCACTATAGAAAGTTCAAGGCCACTGACTACTGATACATCAAATTTTCATTCATGTGGGGGATTGTTTGAAAAAAATAGTTTTATACAAATTGTTTGAGCAAATTGAGGCTTAAATACAAGTGGGACTCACAGCTCAAAATTTGTGGGACTAGGTTTAAACGTGTTCTCCTCTGTTAGGAGAGTAAAATGATATATTTTTTTGTCCAAAACCATTAGGATTTGAATGATAAATTATATCTCAAAGTAACCTATTTGAAGTGATAAAATAAACTAAGATTGGTGTAGTAAAATAAGGCTTGTCCCACATTAGAAGAAGACCAAAACTTTGGTGAGTTAATATACTCATAGTTGGCTTCATGAGTTTGGTCCTCAAGGGGTATTATATTTTTGGGAGCAGAGCGACCGCCTATATTACCTTGGTTATCACACACACGCGCGCCGCCTGACCCGGTCGGGCTCGGGCAAAAAAGATATAATTTTTTTGGACAAAATTTATTTGGAGCGGTGTAGGTCATGGGTCAAATAAATATGACCCGATCGCGGATCAGAATTAAAAATTTCAACTGAGATTTAAATCCAACCAGATTTTTAAATTTATATTAGTTATATTTTGAATTTGGCGCTAAAAGGGGTCTGGGTTCATTCCATGGGTCTGTTTCCAGAGAGCTTGTTCATCTAGGAGATGCCTCTTGTCTGTTCAGATTAAAGAGTGTCACTCCAATCTGAACAGTGGCAACACATGCCTTATCAGGCAATCTGAACAGCCACTAAGGGTCTATAAATAGACTGCCCCTTTACTATTTCAATCCATCTCATTCTGAATTCTTGTTTTAGAATATCTTTTCTCTCTCTGCATATTGTTGCATTATTATTTTGGCTTGGTTCAAGTATAAACGGAAGTTGTGTTCACTGGAATCTTGACGATTGTAGTACTGCTTCTTCAAGAAGGAAAATCCATTTTACCTTGGAAGATAGTTGCTCATTCACCTTGAGCATCGAGAAGGAGCAAATTTGTCTTAAGGAGATTGTGTTTTACAAGGCTCGGATTGAAATTCTGGTTTTTCTTATTAGTTGTTCGTGCTAATTTGCATCCTTGTGAGTGCACTACATTTGATTTCTACACATTTTGTTTAGTTTAGTGAATAAGTTATGTTTATACAATTTAATATAATCCAATTATATAAATATTTCCTATAACACAATCAACTTCTGAGCCCAACCTTTTTTTGGTTTGGTTTTGGTTTAAAATTAGTGTTGTATATGATTTTGTCAGATTCAATATTCGCTGGTGATATTTAGCGAATTCATGACCTGATTTTTTATGTAGTGTTTGCTGAGAATTTGGTACATATGACCATGTGAGGAAGTCTTTTGTTCCTGCAAAAAATGAATGGTGAACGTTTATGTTTGAGTGTGGTGGCCGGAGTTGGGGGTGGGGATGGCTGCGTCACCGGAGTTGGGTGTGGGGATTGAGTCATTGAACTTTTTTCTTTTTTGGTGTCTTTCAATGAAAAACAAAATGTTGGGTGTTGTGGCCATTTTGTTATTTGCCCTTCAATAATGATGTGCACACCACCTTACTTTTTTTCCAACTGACGTCCCACAATCACAATCATTAAATATATAATAAGTGTAATAGGCTCTAGTGTTTTACTAATCTTATGGGCCGCATTGAGATGGTGCACTGCGGTAGTGCAGACAACTAGTAAGTGTAGTATTGTTGTTTGCCCTTCCAGTTTGTAAGTATGTGATTATCTTTGAAACTGAGGGAGGTGATGTGCATTGGGGTCTACCCATGGGGTTGAAGTTATTTTTTTCCGGGTACGTTAATACCGCAACGCATAGCCATTCTCTCCATATCTTATTTGTAACAAACAAAATAGTGAAGGATTAGAACTAGAAGTCCAATTTGAATTATCCATGCATGATGCTGATTTTCAGAGAATAACTTGTCTGGTCAGTATGATTCAGTGTCAAAAAAAAAAGAAGTTCATACTCAACCAATTAGTCATTATGAGCAAGATCTGGTCATGCCCTTTGGATTGTCTGCCTTAAATCATTTATCTGCTTGTAGGGAGAAAAAAGAAAAATATATAAAATATAGTTCATTCGATAATCAAGGATGATTATAATAGTACAAACATTGATTCCAGAATAGTCCCAAGAATCATACTTTAAAGTTTACATTGATCCCTCATGAGTAGATTATTATATCCGGGCCTTCTTTATTCTTCTGTTCTCTCACGCTCAGAATAGCATAACCACTCAAATACTAGTACCATTGATAACCAATATGAGAACCTGCAAACACAAATGACAGACACTTCTTACAGTATAATACCAACAGCTTTAAACTGCTCTTCATACTGCTGGTTCTACGTTTAGAGCTCCAACACCAGGTCTACATTGCAAACAACAAAATTTAGTCAGCCTATTAATTAATTTAGGAGCTGAAATGAGGATTCTGATAATGTAATGTATGTAAGCGTACAGTCTGTGTCTGTTTTGATCCAATACTCCCTGTTGCCACTTGAATTGCTACCACCAAGTGTGACTTGAGGTGGGTTAGGCTGGCTCTTGAAGCGCTGTATGACCTCTTTTGAGATCCGTCCCTGAGGGAGTATGGGGATATCTTCAACTGGGGTCAGATGATCTCCACTGCTATATCTCCCCTCGTACATAAGGTTGTTCTTGATCTCATTCTTTGGGGGCTTATCAGATTTTTGTGTAGCTGTAGAGCTTTCTGGATAAACTTTCCTGTGGAACATATGTAGAATCTGCATGCTTCAAATTAAAGAGTTAGGAGTAAGCTCGATTACTAAATGCATCTTTCCAAGGTTCCCAGAATAAAGAAAGAAAGCTTTGTAACAGAACCTTATGCAGTTTTGTCTCTGCTGAAGCAGGATCAGCAGTTCCTCCTGAATCTGCTGTGGAGCTACGAGAGGAGGGGTGAAGCATTGTCTTTTTCAGTATCTTCTTCATGAGGTGAACAGCCGATTTCTCTGTTTCCTTATCTGTTCTCTTTTCCTCTGCCAGTTTAGTTTTCTGAAACAGCTCCCCGAGTGATGCCCTATGTTCCTTCTTTCCCACGGTTGTTTCAGGCAATTCAATTGCTGACCCAAAAAGATAACCCTGAAGTGGACAAGTTATTGTTCCATTCCCATTGTTCTCTGAGCTTTCTATTTGCTTGCCGCTAAGCGTAATGGTGCTACCATGGCTGCTTCTCCCAGTGCTGACATGACTGTTTCTCCCAGTGCTGACATGACTGTTTCTCCCAGATGAGTCATTGGAACCATCATCTCTAGCTTCAGCTCCCAGCACCCTCTCCAACTCCTCGTTAATTAGCTTCAGTTCATTTTCTGTCACTTCAGTTTCTTTCTCTGTTATGTTCTCAACAGAGATGGCAAATGTTGGGGTAGAAGGTTCAGTGACAATAGGATCTGCACCGAGGGTGCCGATAGCAAGGAACCCATGGAAGAGCTCAGATAATGTGGCCTGTGATTCATCTTCAAGACCTTCTTCCACTCTTGCTGCCTCTAGACTGGCGAATGAGTTTCGAAAGTGATTGTCATGTTGTCCTTTGCTTATGGGTTTAGAGCAATAGTTTGGATTGGGGTAGTATTCTTGGCCGTCGAGAGACAGCTGCCCTGTCAGACAAGTACAGGGAGACAGATTTCATCAGTGAATTTAACTGGAGTCATAAAGGTGTCTGCTACAAACATATCAAGAGAATGCAAATAGTTTTTGAATTAGTTAAGCATTGTGGTCCTTCAGATTGGTGATCTTTATGATATTTGAATCGTTGCAGTTCATCTTTGTATGATATTTCGTCTATAATTAAGTATGCAGCATGCTCCTGTGCGGGGTGATCAGGATTCAAGCCGGCCCTGCTCTGATCTCAGGGTGACAACATCAATCAGGACCAAATCAACGGACACAGCATTAGTAGTGAAATGTGTGCAACTGCGTGGCATGCAAAAGGTGTTAGTTTTCAGGAAAATGTGGACAGGTTCTTACCGATGGAAAAATCCTTGAGAGGTTCGCTGCTATTTTGCCGGAACTTACGATGCATCCAACCGAGTAACTGCAGCAAATACACAGATGGATGAAACTATAATGAGGATGGTTTTGGTTTTGTTTAAGTTGAACTGCTGGTGGACTTACCTTCATCTTTTGGTCTTCTTTCAGAGAGCTTAATGTTTGATCACAGTACCGAGAATGAAAGAGAGGGGAGCTTTAAACAAATAGCTGGGTGATTGATAATGCAATTTTGGTGTCGAACAAATCCTGGAAGGCAACGAGGGTCCTAATTGGAGGCAGGTAGATCAAACATAGAGAAAGTTACAAGGTTAGGACTGGCTGTTCTTTGAAAAGGTTAAATCAAGTGGCCAATTGGGCATGGGTTCTGGACCCCACAAACAAACGATTCATCTGATCTTGTACACTGGTATTCATGTGTGAGGTTTGCTAGGTTCATAATTTTCTGCATCACCAGTATTAAATCACTGCACCTATCAATGCTTGGATATTTTTTTTACAAGGTGTTGATAAACAACCCCCACTATGGACAGGAAGAAGTGCAGGAATATTTTGCCGACCTCTAAAATTTCAAAGTTATATGACAAGGAAGAAGGTCTTTTTTTTGTACATTAGGAACACAAAAGGTCATGGGAGGTCCATTCCTCGGTAGGTTTTGAAAATCTTTCTTTCTCTCTCTCTCTCTCTCTCTCTCTCTCTCTTCTAGCTGAAAGGACCCTTATCTACTACACCAATCAAACTGTACAATTACTTTCAAATTAGTAAATATCTTTATGTTAGGTGTATAGCTATAGTAAAAAGCTTTACCTGTATGCCTATCCTCCACTTATAATTCAACCAGAAGAAGCAATATGTATGAACTTGGAGAAAGAAATGGGATTCAACTTTGCTTTGTTTCTACCTTTATGCTTGCTGTGAATACATTTAAGGTTAAATGTTTAAGCCATTATTATGTATGTAAGACCCAAATTTTAAGAGCCTAGTCATTGGTAACCAATGGGGTGGGATGATGTCCTGTCATTTGTTACCTAGTTGTTTTTTAATGTAGGAAAATGCTATGCTGACTAAGTCTTAGCCCAGTGTTTTTTTGTAGTAAGCACCCATAGACAGGCAAGTTGTAACTCTTGTACTGAAATATTGTAGTTTTAAACTTATTTACTAAACTAATGTTCTTTGTATAAAATCATGTTTGAAGTATGACTTTACACTAAATGTGGTTTGGGAACATTGAAACACGCTTTTAATGTGAAGTGATTTATAAAAAAACATCAGTAGTTTTGTAATTAAGTATAAAATTACAGTATTTTGGTTAAAAAAATTATAAAAACACAATAAATTGGTAGAAATTTCCTTTTCGTGCGGATGTTTTCCAACTTGAAGTTGATGAGAAAAGCATAAAATAAGCGTAGAAGGCAGTGGAGTTAAAGGAGGCTAGGGTCAAGTGAATCTTTTTGTCATTCTCCCTTTAGGAAGCCATCAAGAAACTAAAATACAACACTAAACAGTTCCTAGAGCTGACATGAGGGCGACCAACTCAGCACGAGATTTCTTAGTTATACACATTCCTCCTCCCTACTCTTCTTCACTCATAAAGTCTAGCATGGACCCCTCCTTCCACTAGAAATTTTTTAATGAGTCAAAATGACAGCAAATGGGGTGAAAGAAATCTAAATAATGTCATGTTAGCTTGAATGGAAGTATTGAAACCGCCATGTTTGAGGTACCTTACGAAAAAGTTTGTTAAAAAAGAAGAGGCCTCTAACATGTATATTTTGCTACATTTTATCACATGTATTATGTGTCTATTCGGTGTTCTGTTGTAAGCGCTACTTGTCCAATGTCGATGGTTAGTATAATTTCAAGATATGAAATCGCTAAACCACCCCTCCCCCTCCCCTGCCCTCGGATTCTGCAAATTAAGATTGTTTTTACTTTTCTATCTTGAATTTAATACTCAATTAATGTTGCATCAACTTCTAGAGTGATTTATTTATTCCACGAGGTTGTTAATTTCAATACTTGAAGGCTCCACCATTACATATGGAGTATGTTTGTCATCAAGTGGTTGACTCTAAATACCAACTAGGCTTAAAAGTGGAAGGAGGCTAGCGTTTCTGCCTCCATTAGAGGGTGCACAACTGGACAATCGCGAAGCAGGAATGGTGGTGGTGTTTACTGTGTGCTCTATATGTTCACTCAGAATAGGCTAATGGCTAAAGTGATTGATTCTTGACCGTTCTAAAGAGGGCACACCACTTGATTGTCTGGTTAGCTTGTGGTGTTTTCAATTGATGGTGCATCTAAACTTCAGTGACTGTTTGCAACATTGATCATGCTGATGTGCAGAATTAGATAATGACTAATCGTNTAAAGAGGGCACACCACTTGATTGTCTGGTTAGCTTGTGGTGTTTTCAATTGATGGGGCATCTAAACTTCAGTGACTGTTTGCAACATTGATCATGCTGATGTGCAGAATTAGATAATGACTAATCATTGATGAATGTTTCTCTCTCTCAAAGCTTGCCAAGATATCAACTTTGAATGTTTTATGATAAGATTGATGATATTCCAGTTCTGTTCTTTGCTTAAGTAGGAGAAAGCTGACTTGTATATGCTTAATATCTAGTTCAACGAAGTCCCCAATGTGGATGGATGTCGAGCACAAGTAATTCGTTTATTNAAAAACATCAGTAGTTTTGTAATTAAGTATAAAATTACAGTATTTTGGTTAAAAAAATTATAAAAACACAATAAATTGGTAGAAATTTCCTTTTCGTGCGGATGTTTTCCAACTTGANATATTCCAGTTCTGTTCTTTGCTTAAGTAGGAGAAAGCTGACTTGTATATGCTTAATATCTAGTTCAACGAAGTCCCCAATGTGGATGGATGTCGAGCACAAGTAATTCGTTTATTTTCCATTCTTTCGACAAGTACTGATTTTTCATTTCATTTTACTTAGAGATCGTGGCATAAGGCACTGTTGAATTTATGCGGGCAAATGAGGTTGTGAGCGGGTACATGTGGGTCTTCAGTACTGAAACTTCAGCCTCAAATTCTGTCCTTCAACAAAACAGCACCATGAAAGGTGAAAGCCACTTATACTCCTGTTTTTTCTAATGAGGAATGGAATAGGCACTCAGGCGTTTCTCAGACGAGTTTAATAGTCATGGATGGTTGCCTCGTCATTATGTTCATGTGAAAGTTGTAAGGTATAATTGATAGAATAGGGACAAGTTATGCAATTCCCATTGCACTTTTTACTCTTTTGTTTGGGTGCATTTGTAATTAAATTGACATTGGGGGACACTCTTGAAGCTATAGTCTATTCAGAAAAAGGTGGTAACAATCATATAATTCCAGGACACAGAAGAATAGAGCCGCCATGAAGTTCTTTCTCCTCGTCTCCACCTTTATTAACGAATAATGATGCCTGCAATTCCCTTGACAAGCCTCTGCGTTTCGTGTCTTACAACTATCTATTANTCAGAAAAAGGTGGTAACAATCATATAATTCCAGGACACAGAAGAATAGAGCCGCCGTGAAGTTCTTTCTCCTCGTCTCCACCTTTATTAATGAATAATGATGCCTGCAATTCCCTTGACAAGCCTCTGCGTTTCGTGTCTTACAACTATCTATCAGCATCAGTGATACGGCTATGGTACTGTATTAAAACTGAATAGTCAATTTTGATTTAAATAATTTCTAATTAATTGATTACATAATAAGAAATTATAAAATAAAAAAAAAATCTTACACGCATCATGTTTTTATTAAATGAATTGAAAAATATAGAGTAGCAAAAATTTATTTTTTTGGCCGATAGACCCACAAAATCTTTATTTATTTGCTTGGACATCGTTCTTGGGCCCCGAGGCGGCTGGAAACGCCTTCAGTTTTATTGACCTTTGATGGTAAGATAATCGCCAATGCACAAACCTAAGAGGTCTTGTTTTCTTGAACAATAGTGCTGTACTTCTCAATGTATATATCAAATTTTGCATCTCATCTCAAGCAATGTGTATTGTTCGATAAGTAGTTTCATAAATTTTTGTCAATAAAACTATTCACATTTATTTAGAATACAAAATTTAAAATTTATTTGAGATGCATATCATTTTGTTTTGCCGAAATCAAAGATTATCACTAGGCCCGGCTTTAGTGTACAGACATCAAAGTCTAAGTTGTGGGTCCCATTTTTTTGTGAGCCCAATTTTTTGTAATTATACCCACTAATCCAAATAAAAAATTTAATTTTATATAATCTTAAGGGCAGCAAAAAAATTAAAGTTAAATTTAAATTGACTAGTTTAGGCCTATTTCTCTATTCCATGGCACCAAAAAATTTATTAAAAAAATAAAAAATAAAAAGTAATGGTAAAACTTTTCACCATTTTCTCCTAATTATTCATTTCTTCTCTCCCTCTCTCTCTTTCTCTCTCTAGCGAACAATGGACAGCTTTTAGATGTAAAGCCGTTGCTTTCTTTAAAAGATCATTACTATCTTGTATTAAAGATCATTACTATCGTTAATATAAGATACTATCATTACTATCCAATGTCGATCATTACTACCTTTTATATGTAAAGCAGTTGATTTTAAGCCGTTGCTTTCTTGTATTCAAGATTTATTATTTTAAATTTCATCATCAATAAAATTAATTGTAATAATGTGACATCAGTTATAACATCTGTTGTCATTTTTCGTTAAATTGATAGCCACGTGGACATGATGACTTGTGTTGGATTATGCCATTTTCCTTTCACGTGTGCCTCATGCCTGTCAATCTGATAAAAATTACAACCAACATTATGATTGTAGTCACAATGCTACGAATTAATTTATTAGGAGTGTAATTTAAATTAATTAATCTTTAAGGAGACAAATTAAATTTTTTTAATCTTTCAAAATNTAATTTAAATTAAATAATCTTTAAGGAGACAGATTAAATTTTTTTAATCTTTCAATTTACAAACCACCATTTGGCCTACTATCTCTATTGAGAAAGTGAACTGTACGAGTTAGCCAGGGTCGGCCCTAGGCCTAGGCCACTTAGTTGGCCGCCTAGATATGGGCATATATATATTTTGGATAGGCTAGTTTGAGACTTGAAAATGTCCAAATTTTATT